CACAAGCAACCACATCTGTAATTCTCATGATAGGTATTCTTTCCAATAACCTGTCCTCCAGACAATGAACAATTATAAATACTGTTAATCAATTTTCATCCTTAATAGTAGTAACAGCCCTTAATAAAACTAGGAATCGCCCCCTTTCACTTCTGAATTCCAGAGGTAACCCAAAGAATCTCTCTAATGTCTGGCATTCTTCTCCTCATATGACAAAAACCAGCCCCTAACTCAATTATGTTTGAAATTTTCCCATCAGTAGACACGAACATCCTCCTATCTATCACAGTCCTATCCATTATAGTGGGCAGTTGAGGAGGACTTAACCAAACACAACTACAGAAAATCCTAGCCTACTCCTCAATCACTCACATAGGTGGAATGGTAGCAGTACTAACCTATAATCCAAACGTTATCATTCTAAACCTAATTATTTTATTTTAACAACTACCGCATTTCTAGCACTCAACCTGAGTGTAAGCACTACAACCCTGTCACTATCTCATGCCTGAAACACATTAACATGGTTAATACCTATAATTCCACTAATTCTACTATCCCTAGGAGGTTTACCTCCATTAATAGGATTTCTGCCTAAATGACTCATCATTCAAGAATTTATGAAAAACAACAGTCTTATTACCCTGACCATTATAGCTATCATAACCCTACTTAACCTATACTTTTATATACGCCTAATTTATTCCGTCTCAATGACAATATTCCCCACATCTAATAGTGTGAAAAGAAAAGGACAATTTGAAAACACAAAACCCATACTACTCCTCCCCCCAGTTATCATTTCTTCTACCTTCCCTTACCCATCTCTCCATTAATACCAATTAGAACTTTAAAATATAGGTTAAATAAGATGAAGCGCCTTTAAAGCCCTTAGTAAGTAAATCATTCTTAATTTCTGTAACAGATCTAAGGACTGCAGGACTCTATTCTGCGTCAATTGAATGCAAATCAACCACTTTAATTAAGCTAAGCCCTCACTAGATTGGCAAAATTTAGTTAACAGCTAAATACCCTAATCAGCTGGCATCAGTCTGCTTCTCCCAACATCAGGGGAGAAAGTGGGAGAAGCCCAGCAGGATTGAAGCTGCTCCTCTTGAATTTGCAATTCAACATGATAAGTCACCTCAGAGCTGGTAAAAAGAGGCCTTGACCACTGTCTTTAGATTTACAGTCTAACGCTCACTCAGCCATTTTACCTTTTTTTCCACTTATGTTCATCAGTCATTGATTGGTCTCAACTAATCACAGGTAACAGAATACTATACCTGCTATTTCGTGCATGAGCGGGGATACTGGGCATCGCCTTAACCCTTCTAATTCAAGCAGAATTAGGCCAACCAGGGACTCTGCGAGGAGATGATCAGATCTATGATGGTATTGTCACTGCCCACACATTTGTCACAATCTTCTTTATGGTTATACCAATCATAATTGGGGGTTTCAGCAACTGACTGGCCCCTCTGATAATTGGTGCACCTGATATGGCATTTCCCAGGTTAAATATTAGGAACTGCTGACTTCTCCCTACCTCTTTCCTACACCTACCAGCTAGTGCTCTACTTACGACCGTGGTCCTCGGGACCGCAGACTGGTTGTAACACGATTTGGTTGTAAGTTGAGTAGGCTATATGTACAGTTAAAATGGTGCACGTGGAGATGGTAGTGCTGCCGGAAGCTGGTCCGCATTGTCGTACGCCCAGCTGGGCAACGTTTGCGCTGCCAGACGTGGAGCAGTCGTGGCTAGCGATTGTGGTCGTAAAGTCGAATGGTCGTAAGTTTCATAGGTGGTAAGTCGATCAATACCTGTACTTACATCCTCAACAGCAGAAGCCGGCGCGGGAACCGGTGAATAGTTTATCCCCCTTTAGCAGGAAACTTAGCACATGAAGGAGCCTCTGTGGATCTGACTGACCATCTTCTCACCCCACTTGGCAGGTGCTGCTTCTACTTTAGAGGCCATTAACTTTATTCCCTCAATTATTAACATAAAACCCTCAGCCATATCCCAGTATCGAACACCCCTTTTCATCTGATCCGTCCTCATTGCGGCAATCCTTCTCCCTTCCCGCCCAGTCCTAGCTGCCGGCATTACTATACTATTAACTGACTGTAATCTACTTTTTTTGACCCTGCTTGGAAGGAGTGACCCTATCTTGTACCAACATTTATTCTGATTCTTTGGTCAATGTGAAGTCTATATCCTTATCTTACCAGGCTTCAGGATAATCTCCTATATTGTAGTATTACTCTGGGAAAAAAGAGCCATTTGGGTATATGGGCATAGTATGGGCCATAATATCAATTGGCTTTTTAGGATTTATCGAATGGGCTTACCATATATTTACAGTGAGAATAGACACAGACACATGAGCATACTTCACCTCTGCTACCATAATTATTGCTATCCCTGCTGGCATCAAGCTCTTTAGCTGATTAGCTACACTGCATGGTGGTAACATCAAATGATCTCCCACAATATTCTGAGCCAGGATTCATTTTCCTTTTCACAGTAGGAGGTATAACCTGCACTGTACTAGTTAATTCATCACTAGATATTGTTTTACCTGACACATATTATATTGTAGTCCATTTCCACTAAGTACTATCAATAGGAGCAGTATTTGCCATCATAGGAGGCTCTGTTCACTGATTCCTTCTATTTTCAGGTTATGCACTTAATCAGACCTTTGCTAAAATCCACTTCACCATTATATTTACAGGTGTTAACTTAGCTTTTTCCCACAGCACTTTCTCAGCCTATCCGGTATGCCCTGACATTACTCCGATGACCCTGATGCACACATCACATGAAATATTATCTCATCCACAGGCTCATTTATCTCACTAATAGCAGTTATACTAATAATCTTTATAATCTGAGAAGCCTCTGCTTCAAAACAAAAAGTTCTAACAACTGAACAGTCGTCCACTAATTTAGAGTGACTTTACAGCTGTCACCACCTTACCACACATTCGAAGAGCCGACCTACGTGAAAACCTAAATGAAAAAAGAAGGAATTGAACCTCCAGAAACTGGTTTCAAGGCAATCCTATAACCTCTATGACTTTCTCAATAAGCTATTAGTAAAATAATTACATAATTTTGTCAGAGTTAAGTATAGGTTAAATCCTATATGTCTTAATGGCTGATTTTGTTCAATTAGGCCTCCAAGACACTGCATCTGCCGTTATAGAGGAACTGCTCACCTTCCATGACTACACTCTTATACTTATTTTCCTAATTAGTTCCCTAGTCCTATATAGTATTTCCCTAATACTCACAACAAAATTAACTTAAACTAGCACCACAGATGCACAAGAAATCAAAACTGTCTGAACTGTCTTACCTGCCATTATCTTCATTTTAATTGCCCTCTCATCCCTAAATGTATTCTGTATATAACAGTTGAGGTTAACAACCCTTCTCTTACCATAAAAGCAACTGATCATCAATGATACTGAAGCTATGAATATACAGATTATGAATAATCAGGCTTCGATTCTTACATAGTTCCAACAGCAGACCTAAAGCCAGGAGAACTTCAACTCCTTGAACTTGATAACCGAACAATTCTCGCAATAGAAATCCCCATCCATATATTAGTCTCATCTGAAGATGTCCTGCACTCACAAGCTGTCCCCTTATTAGGCCTAAACAGAGGCAATCCCTGGACACTTAAACTACCTTGACTGCTATACAACCAGGCCTTTACTATGGACAGTGCTCAGAAATTTGTGGGTCAAACCACGGTTTTATTTTGCTTGGCCAAATCTTGCTTTGGCCAGATTTAGAAAGTATTCCTATTTTCACTTACCTTTCTTGTATTTCGGCCATTGCCATGAGAAGAACATGCCTTGGCTCTCTTGCATCAAATAAGAGAAATGTGAGGCAGGTTTGGAATCTGCAGGTTGGAGCCAGACCCAGCTGAGTCCAACCTAGATCAGCCTGCTTCCAGCTGACCCAGAATAAGTGACAGCTGTTTTAAGCCAAGGCATTTTGAAGTGGTTTGTTACACTGCACTATTGTGGCACTATCTGACTGATATGTATTGCATATATAACTGAAGAGTCCAAAGGTAGTATGGGTTTCAGGTAGGGTTTGAAAAGAATTCCTGTTCTATTTATCTGTGATTCTCTTGGGGCTTCAACCCAGGATGGTTTCTCTCTTGGCATGATGACCATAGCCATTTCAGACTTCACATTTACACCACGTGCCATCCAGAAAGCAATAAAGCTTCTCCAACTATCATGCAAAAGTCCTGGGCTTCACTTTGATTAGGTCAACTTAGGTCCTGAACCAATCACTGAGGAAAGAGAGTGGGAGTATGCAACTTGGTTTATGTGAATTGTGAGTCCCTCTCGAAGATGGGAGTAAGCCCAGTGTCCTCCGAAGTTTCTGTTGTGCCAAATTAAAGGTGGGAGTTGTAGGGTGGAATAGATGTCGAGAGGTACAAACAAAGCTAACCATGGAGAGTCTGAAATCTCCTACTTTTGTTTTAAATTTCTATCAATATGTTGTTTGGCTCAAGCCATTTTTCTTCCTCCATGTTGCTAGACTATCTAGAGATGGAGAGATGGCATTTATCCTCTAGATCTTAGATGTTACCTTGTAAATGGCAAAGCGTATGGCCACACCCATGTCCCTACAGTACTAGAAAGTGGGTGGGAACCCAAATAAGTCTACCATTACTCTTGTCAGACTCCCAACTCCTGGTATCTCAGGATTTTAAGAAACTGCAAAGCAGTTCAGTCTATTAGAATGTGAAGACTTCTGAGGTAGAGGATGAATTAATGCTGATGTAATTAATGGTGTGGAGTGAGGTGATAAGAATGTCTCTCCACTGACTTCTGGTCTCCATTGTTTCCAATGAGAAGTCAGCTGTAACTTGTTATTGTCCAGACACATAGTAAGCAACAAATAATGTGTGTTGAATCAATGGATTAAAAATAGAACCAAGATTTTTGACACATATCCCAATGTTCTTCCAAGAATACGCCATCACTTCCTTGTAAAACTTTCCTGTGCACATTTAATGTACCCCCTGCAGCTTCTGCAGGGAATTAAATCAAATAAATGACTAATTCAGGTAATTTTTGTAATGTGATCACTAGTTACATTCTGTGCTTCTAAGAGGCCTCCCTGACTCAAGTATCTGAAAGGTTGAACAACCCTAATCATTTAACACGTGTTTGCCATTTAACAAATGTTTGGCATTTTACAAATATTATTGAGCATCTACTGTCTACAAGATACTGTGTTATTTAGCATGAGGGACACAGAATTGAACATGAGCTAAAACTTGTCTTCAAGTACCCAGCCAATATTATTTGTTCCTCAAGGTTTCAGGGAAACCGTGGACAGAAGGAAAGACTTGGAACCTTTCACAGAGCTACAGATTCTCAGGGAGTAGCTTGCCTGTCGCCTTGTAATATTATTTACCTCATTGTCTCTAATCATTAAGGGTCTCAGCTTTAAATGAAACATCTGTCAGCATTAAGATAAAATCTTGAAAACCAGGCATTTTGATGCGGCCCAGCTGAGATGTCAGGCATATTCCTATGTTCTTCCATTAATTTCTTAAAACTATCTTCCCATGCATTTTACTGTGGTTGCACATAGCACTGTTAGGTTTGTTTTGGTGGTAATATCCTGGTTAAATAATTCCACATAATTGCAAATTTGGGAGTGTGGACACTGCTACATTTTCTTTGACTCCTTCTTTGTCTTTGTAATTTTTTTCCAGATGAGCTATGCCTTAAACCATACAAACAGAAAGCTAACATTGGAACCTAAAATAGCTGTCAATGCCAGGATTGTTGTGGTTGGTGCATCCAGTGTTGGAATTTCTTTCCTAGAGACGTTGGTATTTTGGTGAGTTGTTTTACTATACTGATTGATTGGTTTTTAAATAATAAAAATTATCTCCCTACATCTGAAGAGAACCCCCTCAGAGAACAGACCTGAGGTTGTTTGCTACTCCACACATCCTGAATGAATGAATGAATCAGTGGAAGAATATTCTAGATCAGGGGTTAGCAAACCATAGCCCTGAGGCTAGGCAAATGCTTTTGCAAATAAAGCTTTATTGGAACACAGCCACACTCATTTATGTGTTGTCTGTGGCCATTTTTGTGCTACAATGGCAGATTAGATGGCAAACTCCTCTGCTGAGTAGCTGCAACAGAGGTCATATGGCCTTCAGTGCCTAAAATACGTACTGTCTCACCCTTCCCAGAAACAGCCTACTGACCCCTTTTCTAAAGGAATGTTTCCCTTACTGGCCAGATCATAAGAACCACCTGCAGCATTTGTTAAATACGTAGATTCCCAGTTTCTGCACCCGACTTGCAGAACCTGGTCTCCTGGGGAAGGGTCTAGGAATCTCTGTTAATAGATACTCCACATAATCAGACAGGTTTGGGGATGAGTTTTGACTTCATACATTACTAACACACTTTTAGAAATGGCATGCGGGTCTGGACCTTTCTTTCGGCTCTTGAATTTTGGGTCCCAGGGAGCAGGTAAAACCCTCCAGGGAATACAGAGGCCTGTGCACCTCTTCTGAGGCTGTTTTCTCATCCGTCCTCAAAGCACTAAACAAGGTTTCCTTTCAGACCCCATTTTCCTGATGGGTGATGCTCAGGGATTTCCAGCATCCCCAGTCTCTCTCTTCATCTGCTCTTTGAATTGAGCACCTCTTTAATAGAAAACGCCCTGGGTTATGGTCTGAGAACTTGGGATCGTGGCTTGGCCTCGTCAGCACTTAACAGGGAGCCCCTAGCATATTGCCTAGCTTCTCTCAAGCTCACTGTCTTCATTTATTTTTTTAAAAGTCTCATAGATGTTTTCAAACCCTGACTTTGGGAACCACAGAACCCCGAATTAAGAATCCAGTTTTTCTGTATCTTTTGCTCAGGATCGCATGAAAAACATTAGCTAGCATTCAAAACTACAAGCACTGAGAGGTAAGCAGGAGATGGGAAAATGCAACCCACCATCACTCTTTCAGAAGCCAGCAGAGTTCTTAGCTCAAGACAGGTAGGCCTTGTGAGGGGCTGGGTAAGGAAAGAAATGGAGGAAATGACCCTCAAAAGGTGTGTGCCTGGTTAACATGGAGATGAGCTAATCCCAAGTGGTTATTTTGCTCATTTGACATCCCATTAGCCAGATAAAAAAAGAATTGATGTTTTCACTTTCTGGCCAGTTTGTTCAGTTCTCCAGAATATACCCTTCGGTAACCAGAAATAAATTATGTATCATTAGTAAAGTTAGTAACAGAGTTCATGTGCTTTAAATAATGTGGTCAGTCTGCAGCAATATTTCACGGCAAGCATGAAATGATGAGACGCACCTAGGAATATTCCATTCCCAGGGTATGCCACGTTGTAGTCTGAGTGATTTACTTGTTCTGATGGGTCTCTTCCTCAAAAACTTTTGAATAGCAAGTTTTATGCAACCATTTTTGAATGATGAATTATCAGGGTGGAGCTGTGAAATTACAGCAGTTATGAAGTTATCATAAGCAGGTCTTAAATCTTAATTTAGTTGTATGATTAGTCATAATGTCTTATTTAAGTGATTACATTGAGATGTATACAGGTAATTTTCTTTTTGTGGAGTCAACTTAAATTTAATAAAGAAAAGTATAAATTTTGATGTAGGTATTGGGTTGATTAAATTTCCCAAACAGAGCCTTTTAAAGCATTCTAAAACACTCATAATTCTCTATCATCATTACACAGATTACATGCACTAAAAATAGACTGGTATCAGTTTACGGATCTCTAATCCTTAAGAGAGGAAATAGTTTTCTCATTATTTTCTCTAATTATTTTAAGTCAGCAATCACCATAGTAACCTATTGCATATTTTACTTTCCCAGTTTAACTGCCATTTGAACCTAATTTTGTAAATGATTTGAGCTGAAATGAAATTGAAGAAATAGTTTTCACCCAACACTGACCACCAATGAGGATAGAATCTACATTTTGGAAGCAAAATTTAGGAAAATCAGCTTCTTTGCAGTCTTGTTTTGTTTTGTTTTGTTTTGAGACAGTCTCGCTCTGTTGCCCAGGCTGGAGTGTAGTGAAGCAATCTCAGCTCACTACAACCTTTGTCTCTCCCCAGGTTCAATCAGTTCTCCTGCCTCAGCCTCCCAAGTGTCTGGGAGTACAGGTTCGAGCCACCACACCTGGCTAATTTTTGTATTTTCAGTAGAGATTGGGTTTCACCTTGTTGGCCAGGCTGGTCTCAAACTCCTGGCTTCAAGTGAGCCATCCACCTTGGTCTCCCAAAGTTCTAGGATTGCAGGCGTGAGCCAGTGTACCTGGCAGCCTCGTTGCAGTCCTGAGCTACATTGTCAGACTTAGCGGGGACACCACCATTCCTGGAAAATCCACTTGAGGCCCAGGTCAGTAACCTCCTTTCCCAGAAAATCTGGTAGTTCTGTTATCTGGTGACAAAACAAACACAACTTTGTTCTTGTATTATTTCCATGCAAGAAATTATAAAATACATTTGGTCTCTTCAAAGGACACCAATCAGTTTGCACAAATTCCTTCCTTCTCCAAGTGCTGAGGTGCTACGGGGAGAGCTGAAGTGCTTTGCCCAAACTCACTACCATAAGGATGTGAGCTTCCCTGGGATGTAAGCTCCATGTGACAAGGGAATCCCTGCAGGCAGTGTTTTGACTGTTTTAAGTATGATATTTTATCTGCTAGCAGCCTGCAGTTAATCTGCACAGACACATCTTCCTGTCTATGTGTGTCAGTCCTGACTCCTGCATTTTGTCCTTTTTAAGGGATGCCTCTTGGGCCCTCCCGTGCCCAAGACCTCTGTGGCAGGCATTTTCCTGGGGACACACCCCAGCATCCCAGTCTTTTGCTTCCCCTGCTGTCCTCCCTGCTCTCCTGCCCTTGGCCCTGGTGATCCTCTAGCAGAACCGAGGAGCCAATGGCCCGCTCTCAGAGGTTTCTATAGTCTCCCTCAGCCCTGCAGAGGCCTCCAGGGGTGGAGATGGGCAGGGGCATAGAGTCATTCAGGGTGGAGTGGGCTCAGCTCATTGGTTCCATCCCCTTCATCTTATGCACTTGGCCTCTTAGGGAGCCTAGGAGGAAAGGACCCGGGCTTCTTTCCTGTTACCTGTCCAGCCAGCACAAGGACATGTGCATTTGTGGCAAGGATCAGGAGCTGTGCAGGGCAAGGCCAGGGCCATGGGGTGGTTCTCTTGCGTTGCAGGGCACAGAGGAAGAAAACGCTGGCTTGTACTTTGGGGTAGAGGGCCGTGAATGAGAGGGGAAAGGGCAGATCTTAAGACATTCACTGTGAGATTATGTGTGTTCTTCATAACGCCCAAGACATTTAAGTGATAGACTTGGATTATTTTTAAGTGACTGTTGTGATTGGTGGGTTGTGTTCATTTGGCTGCCTTGTTCTTTGGGACTGAAAGTTCTTGGCTCAGGCACTACGGGTATCACATGTGCAATTTCCTTCTCAGCACTTCCATTAGAAAGACTCTTTAAAACCTCCAACCACTGGAGAACGCAGAAATAACTCAGCCTAAGCTGTCAGCCCATCTCTGCTGCCAATCAGTGCTGTGGCCCTGAGGGAGGTACTGTCCTCATCTGTGCTGAAGGAGAGTCCCAGCAGGAGCCCCAGGTCCTGCTAGCCCGAAGGCACCACCACTGTAGAAACTCCACAAACCCTATCAGGGTGAGATCTAAAGTGAACTCCCACCAAGGCTAGCCCTGCTGAACTCCCCAAACGCAGTACTTTCACTATTTCAGGTTTCCACAAAGATACTCCAAAATCATTGCTTTAAATTATAGAAATGCTATAGCCAAAGAGAGGGGGTGGGGGAGAGAGAGAGAGAGAGAGAGAGAGAGAGAGAGAGAGAGAGAGAGAGGAGCAGGCACCAGATGTATGCACCTCTCTTCTGTTTCTGCATCCTTTCACTGCTGGTGTGGTGTTGACATCACCTGTGAGCTCGTTAGACAAGCCGACTCTCAGGCCCTGCCCTAGACAGTGTCCCAAACAGGCTTCTTCCCAGAATTGTGAAGACCAGCATCCTCACTGTCTCCTGGGCATGCATTCACGGAGCTGAGGCAGTTGCTCTCCTCTTCGGTTTCAGCAAGTGAGTCTCTATGCTTCAGCGTTTTGTAGTGTTTACTCTTAATTACAGAGAAGTTCCTTTTAATCCATTATTTTTAACTCCTGATTTAATCCCATGTAAAGAGTCTTTTGAAGAGCCTGTAATGGCACTAGAAAAATGCGCACAGGAGTAATGGATGACTGTGTCTGAAAGCAGCCCGGGCGGTGTCCCGGCGACCCTCCATGTGACTGGAGAACAACCCTGATTCATTGGAAACACTGGTGGGCACTGGAAAGCCCAGGTTCCTCTTGTCTTTCACTTCCACCACTGAGAAGAGTTTTCTCAAAGACTGACCAAATCATCCTTAGCAAAAATCATCCTTAGCCTTAGACTTTCAGCCTAGACATTGATCCCTCCTCTGGCCGAATGTGTCGAGGTGGCTAAGAATAGCTTGGAGCAAGCAGGGCATGTTTTTAAAGCTGCAATTGTGGCAATGACCACAACTCCTGTTATCGGGCCGTGCAGTTCCGCACAATATCCGGCACAGCTGTGGGCTCTGGCAGCAGCCAGCCTAGCGCTGGCGGCTTAATTAGGCTTTTTATCTTTACATTTGTCTGAGGACATCTGAAACCTTCAGTGTGGCCTGTCACTAATTAGGTGACTAATTAAATAGTCAGTGCTTCCTTGCTGATCTCAGAGCTCAACCGCAACAGACAGGTTTGTGACTGTGAAGCCCGTCCTGTCGGTCTCTGCACGTGTGCTCCTCGCAGTTGCCCTGTTC